CAAAGTATATGGAAAATGTTAAGAACATGAGAAATCTGGTTTATCTCTCTACCAATGGGTAGAGCTTTGCTTCAAACATAAAAACACACATGGCAAAATGACTCCAGATCGTATAGCCAACCTAATCCCAATTAGCCTTGATACTACGCCCCCCAGTACAAAGCCATCATTGCAACCGTCGCGTTAGCCGAATATAAAAGCCCGCCAACATAGGCCATATCAGCGTCCAACACGTGGCATCTCCTCCAATGGTAACTCAACTACGGTAACTTCACAAACAACCCTGCTTCCATTCAAATTCACATTCGGTCATAGGCATCACAACTCATCCCTCGAGAATTTCCGAAAAATCTTATTCATCAAAGTTTTCGAAAACTGCTACCACCAGGATGCATCAGAGGCCCCCACGGACGCCTACGACCTCTACACAAGCCCAAATTGCGACAATCACGATTCAAACGATGAGGGGATTTAATGCCCTTGGGGATATACTAGACTTCCCTTCAGCTTGAATTGACTTCGGCCAAAAGGAGTGGGGGTCTGGGGGACTACCCCTCGATCTTTTTTGAAAAACAATGAATCCTTAGGGATAAAAGCACGATGGAGAAGCTTTCAGATAAACAACAAACTACTCCCCTTTACCTCAAGAAGCTCTTGACAAAGGGAGTGAGGGACTCTTGATGGAGTATATGGCCCAGAACCCCCTGGTTCACATACTTCAGCGACCTCAATGGCCCCAACAATTACAATCAACCCAAAGAAGCAATAGGACACCAGATCATTCTCGTCTTCGAGCAAGCCCTCTAAAGATAGCTCTCGGTTCCCGGTCAAAGCCTTCGTTCTTGGCACAAAGAGCTCTCGGACTCACACTTCCCAATGCCCAACCACTGCAATTAATTCTAAGCCACACGCCTAGATCTGTGCCACATCGGTGCTCTCCGCCATAAATTAGGATACACGTGTATGTGCATTTAATGCACTCGACATTTATGACTAATATAAATAGCAGTCCCTTGGGCAGTTGTAACGGTTCGAATATTCATTAATATGTTTGCTCTCCTTCCCTTACTTAATAGCTCCGCGCCTTCTCTCTACATACGAGTAGTGATATCCGATATTAGCTTTCTATCACAAATGAACATCAGTAGTTGCGTTAGATTCATATTCCTAATTGTAAATCCACCCACACAACTGAATTTTTTAATGTACCAATTTTAATCAACATTTATAACAAAGGGCTATAAGTATACTAAAAAGATCATGTCTAGTTGTTTGGACAGAAACTTCGTCCGGTCGCCGCCATTTGAGGCGGTTTTCAGTGGAATGTTTTGATAAAATTTTGTGAGATTGTTCTTCATTAGATGTAGATCATATCCACAAAATTTCAACTTAAAATAAATGATCGAACAACGTTTTTCAATAATTTATCTAATTGTCTTCCCCATTGAAATTTGGTCCCCAATTTTTTGGACATACTATACTTCAAAAAGAACATGCTCACAAAATGTCATAAAAAATGTCATCAAAAATTACCTCAAATAGCGACGGCTGAACCGAGGGTCTTGAGCTTCCGACCGGACAAGATCATTCCTCATAAGTATATTTTTTGAATAGATTTTAAAAAAGGCACGAAGTATAATTTGAACAAAGGGCTATAAGTATAACTTTTTGGGTACAAATGAATCCTATACTTAAATGTTGCATGTTGAATTCAATTATTATTAGTGAACTACGCAGCAGTGCAGCACTGGCAGCAGTTTCATTTACTACTCAGTTATTAAAGGTTATGAAGTTTATATTATATATACCAGTGGTAGCTGCTTTGACCAACAAAGTGGCTGTAGTTTAGTGGTAAGAATTCCACGTTGTGGCCGTGGAGACCTGGGCTCGAATCCCAGCAGCCACAATTTTGTTTTACCTCCGCCCGCCAAATAGATACGGAGTACTTTTTAGAAGGCAGACACAAATTTTCTAATTTGCCGCCTTTTCCCTGTACTTATTTTGGGAGCGTCCCTAATATTTCTCTTTTTAGTGAAAATTGTCAAATCAGTCTACCTATTATTTTGAAAAAGTCAATTAAGTTTGCATATTATTTTTTAATCAAGTGTCAAAAAATGAGCAATTTTGTCTTTTTTCCTGTAATTGACCGGTTTACTCATTAATCGGCCTACGTGGATCATCCATGTGGCTTTTTTCCTTGTAAGCGCTGAGTTGGCTGTCACGTGGCATTTGAATTTTTTTTTGAATCAAGTCCAAAAATAATGTCAAATAAACAAATATTTACCATATTAGGGTTGGTTGAAAAGTATTTTCCAAAATAATGCCCGGTTCAACTATGGTTAAAACAACCGTCACTTGGAGTGGAGTGACGGCTTATGCAAAGAGAAGAGCACGCTAGGAGACTTGCGCACAAATCATCTCATGACTTCTGGTCCGCAAATTATACCGTGGGATCGGCCCATGATGCGCATGGTGTGCCGATCCTCATACGACATCGTTTTGCACTTAAAAATCAGAACAACACGTTATTCTTATTTTCCAGCGACGACGACCACCTCCCTTTCCCACTTCCCAATCATCGACTTTGGTTTGCGAGACACATAGAAACGGCCAAATAGCTTATCACAGAGCACCGAATTTAGAGCAGTGATTCCTTCTTTGTACGATGTATACGGAGATGGCTAGAGATCTGGAAACTTCCATAGAAAAATCAAATTTTATACGGAGATGTTAAACGTTTGCTATCTGCTGGTTCAATTTTGATGCTTTGGTATATTATTTACAGAGTAAACGTGATATTGGAGCAAATCAATCTAATTGATGGGCTTTGGGTATTCATATTAAAACAAATTCCATCTTCTTCTGGACAAGTTACATCTTAATGTACGCGAGTTACATCTTAATATACGCGAGTTATATCTTAGTGTATGTGAGTTACACCACGGAATAAACCCCTGCTATATCATTTTTATAGCCCTAATATTAAACATAAAACATATTCACTATTTAAAAAAAGTAATTAAGCTATTAGGATCAATTTTTTATTGTTTTCATTGAAATCAATGTTTATGACATATATATTATTCTTAAACACACACAAAAAAATTGTTCAATTTTTCAACAAGTTACATTCTGTATACATCTAAGTTATATTTGTCATCAACACGAGTTACATTTGTAATAACATGAGTTACATTAAAAAATCAACCCCTGCTATTGAAACAAAAAAAATATGTTTTTTAAAAAATTATTTTTTATGGTCATGATATTAAAAACAAAACATATTCACAATTTACGTAAAGCAATTGTGAAATTAGACTCTTTTTTTTCATTGTTTAAATTGAAATCAATATTGTATTTTTAATACTATGTATTTGACAAGTTACATTTCGAATTCACTTGAGTTACATTAATCAATAACGTAAGTTACATATTTTTACTCACGAGTTACACCATTCATGCTACTGGGACAAAAAGAAAGAAAAAACAGTTACTGTACACGCGTGTACTGTTCGCACGTGTACTGTTCACGCGTGTACTGTTCACGCGATTTTTTTTAAAAAAAATTGGGTAAAGCTGCGTCGTTTTGAAAGTGGAGCACCATGCTCACCGTGGGATGATCCCACGGTATACGAACGGCTTCTGGTCCCACTTGGGGAAAAATCACCTCTTGATTTTAAATAGCTATAACTTTTTTATTTGTATTCCGATTGTTACAAAAAATATACCAAAATTCATAACTTTTTTATAATCTTTCATATGACATTGATATTGGATATAAAAAAAATTAGCAATTTTAAATAGAATAATGTTTTTAAAGTGTTGCAATTTTTTTTATTTCGATTGTTATAAAAAATTATCAAAATTCATAATTATGTATTGTTTTTCATATGACACTAATATTGCATATATAATTTTTTTAGCAATTTCAAAAAACTTTTGTTTTTTAAAGAGTTGTAAATTTTGTACTTTTACTATGATTGTTGTAAAAATACTACGGAGTAACTCATAACTTTTTATTATCTTTCATATGAGACCAATATTGCATATACATAAATAAACAAATAATTTGGTGGATTAAAAAAACCTGAATTCTAAATTGCTTAACTTTTTTATTTGTGCTCTAATTCTCACAAAAAATATTACAACTCATAAATTTCTAATATCTTTTATATGACACTAATATTGCATATATAAAAATAAAAACAAAAAAGAATTTTGAGGATACGACTGCTAGATATCGTTAGATTTTAAACCTTTTTTAAATACATCCAAGTTCTGAAATCAAGTTCTCATAATTGATCAATTTGTAATTTGTGACAAATTCTTTAGATAACTTTAATCTTTGTAAAAATCAGATTACACATGTATAAGCTACAGACTTACAACATTTTGAAAGACAAAAGTTTTTTTCAAATGTAAAATCATTTTTTTATTTCTATGTATGAAATATTGGTGTCTGAAATATAATACAAAGTAAATAATTGTGAGTTTTTTAAATATAGTTTTATCACAATCGGAGTAAAAATAAAAAGTTTACAACACTTTAAAACATAGTTTTTTTTTAAATTGCTAAATTATATTTGATATTTTTTTATCCAATATTGGTGTCATATGAAAGATAATAAAAAGTTGCGAATTTTGATATATTTTTTGTAACAATCAGAATACAAATAAAAAAGTTATAACTATTTAAAATAAAAAGATGATTTTTTTCCAAGTGGGACCCAAACACCGTGACATTATTTGCATTCTTTTGTGCGCAAGTCCGTTAGCATGTAACTTGTTGTTCTCTATGCATAAGCCAACCGCCACTTCAAGTGACGGTTCTTTTAACCATAGTTGACCGAACAATATTTTGAGAAATACTTTTCATCCACCATAATTCGGGAAATATTTATTTATTTGTCATTATTTTAAGAAAAAACTCCTTTTTTTTCTTTTTAAATTTTTTGTTTCCTTATTCGGCCTGCGACTCTTCTTTCCTTATCCTTATTCATCTTTCCTTTTCTTTCTTTATTCCCTTTTGTCTTCCCTTCCCCCTTCTACCTTTCCATCTTTCAACCGCCGTCGACCTCTGGCGCTTCCAACTCCGTCGAGCTCTACCGCCGCCGTCAAGCTCTGCCCCCATCATCGTCTGGTTTCCATTGCAGAAGACCAAGGGTTTCTGTCGTCGAATTCTCTGGGCATGAAAGAAGGGGATAGAAAGTTCAAAGTTGGGTGGAGTAGAAGAAGTGGAATGAAGAAGAGAAAAAAGAAAAAGAAAAAGAAAGAAAGAGGAAATAAGGAGGGGGTGGGCAAGATTGAAGAATGAAGGGAGGGAGAGGTTGAATAGAGTGGGGTCGTGGGGTAGAAGCAGGGAATTAGAATGGGGAAGAAGAAGAGATTAAAGAAAGAGGGGATAGGGAGTTGCGGAGAAAAGAAGTAGAAAAAGAAAAAGGGAAAGTTCCCGAAATAGGGCTAAACCATTTTGAAAATTTCAAAATAGGACTACCATGTTTTTATTTCCAAAATAGGACTAATTACTATCATGTTTTGGCTGTACCTGACTTCAAACATGACAACATTTTCTAAACATGACAGTAATTAGTCCTATTTTGAGAATAAAAAACATGTTAGTCTTATTTTAGAATTTTCAAACTGTTTTAGTCTTATTTCGGGTAATATTCTCAAAGAAAAAAAAGGAATGAAGAAGGGGGAGATGGGGAGTTGGGGGCGGATGAATGGAGGAAGAAATAGAAAAGTGAGACATAAAAAAGTGAGAAAGAAATAAAATTCTGAGGACTAAAAAAGTTTGAAAATTCCAAAACAGGACTATCATGTTTTATTCCCAAAGTTGGAGTAATTACTGTCAAGTTTGGAAAATACTGTAATGTTTAAAGTATGGCAGTGTCAAAAATGGCAGTAATTAGTCTTATTTTGGAAATAATAACATGATAGTCTTATTTTGGACAGTTGGTATACCGTGGGAGCAGCCCATGGTGAGAATGGTGCTCCCACGGCTAATTCACGCGTGAATAATAACACGTGTGAACAGTAACATTCTTTTTTGTTCCCGGTGACAGGGAGATGTAGTTTGTGTGTAATGAAATGTAACTCACGTCAATATGCAAGGTAACTGCAGGCAAGTTGTGGTGTAACTTTTCTAATACGAAGAAGAATAAATAAAATGTTGATTTCAATGTAAACAATGAAAAAAAGTAGTCTAATTGCTCAATTACTATACATAAGAAATAAATATGTTTTGTTTTTAATATTAAGGCCATAAAAATATTTTTTAAATATCTTTTTTTTTGCCAAAATATCATTTTTGTTTGCAAAAAAATGAATTTTTTGTTTCAATAGTTGGAGTTTATTTTGGTATGTAACTAGTGTTATGGAAAATGTAACTCATGTCGATGAAAAAATCTAACTTAGGTGTATGCAAAATGTAACTCGTTGAAACAAGTCTAAGTGTAACTTGGATACAAGAAGATGTAACTCACGCATAAAATTGTGTAACTCGTCCATAAGAAGATGTAACTTCATATACTATCAATTGTAAACAATGAAAACAAGGAGTTTAATTGCTCAATTACGTTATGTAAATAGTGAATATGTTTTGTTTTTAATATTTAAGGCCATAAAAATTTGTTTCTTAACAAATATTTTTTTTGCCAAAACTTTTTTTTTGGGGATTTTTTTTGCCAAAAAGAATCAGTTTTTGTGCAACGAAATGGTTATTTTCTTTCAATAGCAGAGGTTTATTTAGTGATGTAACTCATATTATGAAAAATGTAACACGTACTGATTGAAAACTAACTTAGGTATATGCAAAATGTAACTTCTTGAGATAAGTCTAGATGTAACTCGCGCGTATGAAGATGTAACTCACTAATAAAAAGATGCAACTCACGTACAAGAAGATGTAACTTCATATATTATCAAATGTAAGTCCTGAAATTGTCAATAAACATAACTCACACTTGTAGAATTATAAATCGCACAGAAAAATGTAATCTCATACTTTATCAAATGTAAATCAAAATAACCAAATTTAATGTCTAAAAAATACTAAAAACATACTCCATATAAGAGAGATATTAAATATATTATAGGAAAAAATGTGAATGTGAAAAAATATATTACAAATAAGTGTATAAATATAAAAAATATTTATTCTGAAGAAAAAATAGACAGTTTTTTATTGTATTTTTAGTTGAATAAAAAGAAAAGAAAAGGAAAAGTGTATCAATAAGGACTAAGAGAGAAAGAAAAAGTAATTAATTTATTTGAAAGGATGAAATTTGATCACAAAATTATAATATGTTCTGTGCTCTTAAATTAAAAAAAGTAATTGGAAACATTATAGCTTTTGATGATAAAAAAATCAAAAGAAACAAAAGAAAAAGAAAAATGAAATGTGAGTGAAGGATGTGTGAGTGGAGAGAGCATGCAATCATTCAGCAAGTGGTCTTGTATGCTTCATTTGTTATACGGAGTAAAAAAATGGTATCGTATTTGGGATGGGTGTACCATTCGCATGGTACACCGATCCCACGGTATAATTTGCCTATTTTGGAATATACAAACGTTTTAATCCTGTTTTGGGTAATTTTCGAGAAAGAGGGGAAAAAGAAAAGCAAAAAATAAAAGAAAACAATATAAAAAAGTTGAAGTGGCATCCACATAAGCATTACAAGGGGCTACCGGCTGTTAACCGGTTTTTTTATCATCAAAATATGCCTCTATTCATATCAAAAGATTCAGAATCATTACATCAAGCAAAGAGAAAATAAAACAGACATCAACTGAAACTCCAACAACTACGACTGTAACCCTATGGTGAGACTTTGTGACGGTCACCCCTGAGAGAGCAACATGAAACGCTGATCATGTAGTGGGCTTGACACAGCCAAACATGTTCCCATAGATTCAACCATACCCAATAACATAAAGAGAGGCAAACAACTCAAACAAACTGTCAAACCCAACAACAAAAATGGACGCAAGAAAACAAATAACAAACAGATAAAAACTACAAGAAAAACGTTCACGAACACTAGCACCTCGTATATCCCATGGTGGTGGTTCAGGAGGAGGTGGTACCACTGGTACCATGCTAATTGATCCTACATGACCTTTGGCTGCCAAAGACCATGCATCAATCCTTCATCCCTGCATAACCAAACTCATCCCTGCTCCGTGCGACCAGAGTAAACGGATAGACGGCGCCGATCTTCTCCAACGACGACAGCAATGCCGCATCCTCGAACCTTGACCACAACGTTGATTTCATCGAGCCATGACAGCAAACCTGCCCTCCTCCACCGATTTCCGCCCTCCGCGTCTGACCTGGGCTCCAGTCGAGCACCAGCGACCAAGGGATAACAAAGCCGATCTTCGACAAAGTCAAAATCAGAAAAAGGCTCCAGCGGCCGACATAGTCAAAGCCCTAGAGAGAAAACCCTAGGTTTTCAAAGTACCTTTGTTCTTGAAAGTGGCCAGTACTCTCGGTTGTTAACCGGTTAAATGGTAAATTTGATTAAAATTTGTAACTTTACGTACCTAAATTGATTAATAAAATAGTAGATGAGCTCAAATGACTTTTCTAAAATAGTATATGGACTAATTTGACAGTTTTTCCTTCTTTTTATAAGGTAAAAATATTCTTAAGAGTTTATTACAAAATCTGATTTGATCCATAATCTATATCTATAATAATAATATAAATAATGAAAGTGAGAGTCTCGTTCGAGTCAGGACCTCCTGACCGGAATCTCTGTACGGAATTTACTGTTTAGGGCGGTTCCCGGTGAAATTTTGTGATGAAATTTTTTAAGTGTGTTCTCTATCAAGTTTAGTTTATGTCTATCAAATTTCAGCTCAAAATTTAATCGGGAAAGTAGTTAAATAAATTATCGAAAAATGCTGCGCTTTTTGTATGTATAGTTTTGCGCAGTATCTTTCAATAATTTATTTAACTGTCTTTCCAATTGAATTTTGAGCTGAAATTTGGTGGGGATAAACTAAACTTGATGAGAAACATTCTCAAAAAAAATCATCAAAAAATTTCACCGTAAATCGCCCCAAACAGTAAATTCCGCACGAAGATTCCGGTTAGGAGCTCCTGACTCGAACGGGACTCATAAAAGTGATATATATTTTAATGTTCATCGGCCATTCTTCACTCTAAGGGATCGTTTGTTAATTTACATGTGAAATCTTTACACGCGAAATGATTGTATGCAAAGTTTAGAGAAGCAATGAGTTTGCACGTTAAAATAGATTACATTGTTTGGTTGGATATTTAATTTATTTTAAATTTGCACGCAAAGGCGCTGCAATGCTTTATAAAAAGCACGCAATGTATTTTACCATCTTCCCCTCACGTAAAATACTTTACATGGTATATTAGAAGACGAGAAAGAGATGAGGGAAGTAGTTTTTTTCATGTTAGGGACGGGAACAAGTAAGTTATGCTAAATGGAAAGTGAATGAATGGATGAAGAGCAAGTGGAATGAAATTAGCCAACTTTCCCTTTTTGGTTGTTCCAAAAAACTTTGTTACTTTTCTTTTAAAGCAATTTATTTGTGGTTCTCCTCATTTGTCTCTCCTCTTTTACTATTGTACAAACACACAACTTTTACTATTCTTATTTCCCACATACTCTAAATTTGGTAAAGTCCATCAGGATGAAGGTAGTATCAAGTCACCGTTCTGTTTTAAAAGCACTTTTATAAAAATATAAAAATCATAATATTTTACAATCAAAATCGTAACCCAAATTCTACTATGGAATTATATGTATGTTCTTTTGTGACATTTCCATAATACCGTCATTTTTATAGTGAGAGATCCTATAATAATTGTACACGCATATTGTATGAGCTACAGCTATGGGGTCGCTGCTCCGTCCGTTCATTCAATCACTCTTACTTGTCGTGTTTGAACACATCCCCAAGTTGAGAAAGGGATCAATAATGGGCATCATTAGTTTTTCAAATTTCATGCTTAGGCTAATTGCAACCCCTTGCCTCAGGTTGTTTCGATTCTGGTTAAAATTTTATAGAAGCGTTTTAAAAATCGTACTACATAATTGTTAAATTCGGTGCGATTTTAGTAAAAATGCACTCGCAAGTTGTTAAGTTCGGTTAGTTTCTAGTTAAAGAAGTTGTTTCAGTTCTTACCATTTCTCCATTCCTTTTAAAAAACTTATTATCCTCCTAAAATTAACACATTTACATTCAGTTTCATAAAAATATTCAAATTTTAAATCATGAAAATAAATTGTCAACAATGATTAATTTTTGAGGTGGACTAAAAATTGCACCACCAGAGAAAAGTTACAAAATAAAGCGTATTAAAAAGTAGGGAGAATTCTTGATTAAAAAGACATGAAACTACAAAGAGGCTGAAATCTATGACAAATTTTCGTGACAAACGAGATATTTTTTTGTAGTGTGACCACTTCGATAGTTTTGATTTTCAAGGGGAGAAGTTTGGATGAAGAAACCGAATAGCATTGATTCGCAGATGAGTCGAATGTTTGTCTCAGAAGTAGTCATGTGGCTTGAATTGGGTTTAATGTTTAAAAGGTTTAAGGTTTTTTTTGAAAGGAAAAAACTTACTTATCATTAATTAAATCACAGTTTAGTACATGAATAATAAAATTAGGAGGAACAAAATTCCAAAACCGATAATCAAACTCAGCACA